GGCATCCTTGTCAGATGCCCGAACCACATCAACTCTTCCATGAATCACTACCTTATCATAGTGGAGGGGTATCTGTGTCCCAGGGATCCCAGGGGCTATGTTGTCGGGGGGCTTTTGTCCCCTGGTAGGGTCACCTATGGCAAACTGGTCCTGGGTGAGGGACCAGGAAAAGAGCGATTCAAGAGACCCCTGTGACAAGACCATTGAGGGAACAGTTCACCCTGCCTGGGATAGTGTTACCCGGGCCCCGCCCTGCAGCCAGGCCTGGGGTGGGTGCCCGAGGGCGACCGTCTGGTGGCTGGGCCTTAGTCCATGGAGCCTGACCAGGTACAGCCCGAAAAAGGGACATGGGCCCGTCCTCCTGTAGGCCCACCAGGGCCTCCGTCCAGGAGTGGAGCCCCTGGTGGACCGAACCCCAACTACCAAACAGACAGATTAGTATTCTGGTAGTGTTCTGGTTATATCTCTATATAATAACAGTAAGTTACTGAGCTGTCATTGTGCAGTTAAATCGTCGTCACTTTGAGAATTTAATGGAAAAATGTATAAATGTATGAGGTACGAGCAGTTAATGTGAACTTAATGAGAACTAACAACAGAATGATTCCATCTCATTGCTAATTTATCACCATCTCGATGCACCAAAGTCGATTTGAAGACGGCAGCTGACTGTGATTGGTCGCAGTCCACTCTGTGGTCTCCAGTCACTGTTACTGTAGCATAAGCTAACGTGGCTAACGTCAACACCGCACAAACCAATATGAGACGTCCACCCACACATGTGTGTAGTGAGTTACAGAGTGGGCTGCAAACTGAGCCTTATTCATTGAGTCATGGAAAACTGAGAATGCTGAATAATAGCTTGGAACAACTGGCAACTATCACAGAGTTTGTTTGAGACTGAAGTCATCATAAAACAAACAAGAAGTTTCTCAGTTCACGTCTCATTAATCTGCTGCACCTCATCTCTTAACCGTCTTTGCAGATGCTTTAATTCAAAGAGACATAAACTCAGAGTCAGTGTGTGATTCATTCTGGCGTCCTGGATGAGACGCAGATCCAATTACCAGCCTTTAACGCTGAGTCGCAATCGCACCAGTTTGTGAATATAAGCAAAACAATAACGTGTGAAAACTGTGCTGTAAGAGCGACTGGCGCCCTCACAAAGACAAATTATTATTATTATGAGGATGTTTTTCTCCGTGCTGAGCTGTTGCTCGGATGAAAGCGAGTGAATGCAGATTGCCGAGTACATGAAGGCTGTTAATGCCTGAATTTACTGCTGCTGATTCTGCAGGGGAGCGAGACAGAAGAAACAATCAGAACGAGATGAGCTTATAGCCTGCTGATCAATAAGGGGAGCACTCCACTTTAATGACACACACACACACACACACACACTAAATCCAGGCTGAATGAGGAGCGATAAATCTGCTAGCATGATGTTGCTATTTATACATCCATTACTGCAAAGCAAACAATGGTTATTAATCAGCAGGAGATTCTCTCTTTTCGTTCACCGCTAACGTCTCTTTTTCCTCCATCTATCACATGACTTGCATCCATTTTTCTCTTCCCTCAGTCGTGTCAGTTATTTTGCTATCGACTTGCATTACCACTCTCTCCGTCTCCTTGTCATTCATTACTCAAACCCAGCTGTCTGCAGTCATCAGTCTGTCCATTTATCCAACTGAACCGCGGGACCACGCGCTGAACTCTGAACCACGTGTTTGTCTGCAGTCTCGTTCGGCCACTTTGAAAGTTTTAAACGCCGCATTGTCAGGACATCGTGTTCAGTACTGATAATTGCAAGAGTCTGGTGGTGGATTAAGATTCGAATTTGTGATTTAAATAAAGGTTATGGTTATTTTTTGTGGATTTGCGGCTCAAGAAATGGAAATTTTGTGATTGCTCACAGAGAGTTTGCTTGGCTCGTCTGTTTGCCAGTGAGATTATACTAAAAATCACTGAGGATCATTTCATAAATCTAGTGGAGATTTGGAGCAAAGCAACAAAACATGGAACACTTTCTTTAAAACTGGAAAAAGGAGCCCCAGCTTTGGCAGAAGATGCACTTTCACCTTCACGATGTGCTTTCTTTTAATGGATTATCCCACCTCCCTGCAGGGGTGTCAAACTGACAAAATGACAATCACATCCAGACCCAAACACATCTGGATTAATTCATTTACATTTACACACACAGCAGCAATCAGATCAAACAGTTAGCAGAAAAAGTGCTTTACCAGTGAAACCCAGCTGACCTGCAGGCCTCATGTTTGCCTTAAATCAGGGATGTCAAACTGCCCACTTTGGCCTTAAGTGGGTCAATCTGTAAAGACATTTACTTACACATCGAATCCTTCAGATATCTTCATATATATAACGCAAAGTGTCATCTTAATACTATGTCTCAGTTGTTTTCTCGATGATAAAGAAAGAGTGATGTAGTAAAGAAAAAAATCTGTCAGGACGACTCTTTGGGTTTAAGCTTTAAGAGATAAATGTGTGAAATTACACATTAATTAACAATTAATTGTTTATCTATTATTTAATTACTTTAATCCATGG